TCACTGGTTTGGTCTTGGGGTCAATACTTAAGCGATGACAGATTATATCGAGAGAGATGTCTGGCATGTCCTCGTATGACCAGGCGAAGACCTCAATGTTCTCTTGCAAAAAAAAAGATCAATGCCTACCGAATGGGTGGTGACAAGGTGGTATCAATCTTTACCATACGATCCGGATAATCTTTTGAGATAGAGACCTTTTCCAACTCTTCAGCGGGTTTGTGCTTGCTGGGTGAAAGAGTCATCTCGAGGATCATCAGGTTGACTGTTGCCACCATGAAGATCCAAGTTGGCTTCGTCTGGGTTGGTCTTTATGACTTGATCATGTATAAAAAGGGTTCCTTGGGCACATGCAGGTGTCGTTGCTTAACCGAAGTGTTGTAACATGATCGTGCACTAAGTTGATCTCTTCTGATGTAACCATTGCTATAAGGGGTTGGAAATTTCATCAACAACATATGTGTGGATACCATGGCCTTGAGATCATTGATGCCTGTGCGTCCGAAGATGACATTGTATGCCGTTGGGCAATCAACCACCAGGAAGTTAGTGGTAATGGTAGCTGTGTAAGGGCATGTACCAATGGTAAAAGGTAAGTGTATGCTCCCCAAAGGTTGCACGATATCACCGGAGAAGCTTATCAGATGGGAAATCGAGCGGTCGAGCAAGTGTTCAACTACATTAAGTGCCCTGAAAGCTTCAGCAAACATGATATTGACCAAAGCCCCTGTGTCTACCAGGATTCGTCGTACTTCAAAGTTGGCTATGTGAACTTCCACGATCAGTGGGTCGTTGTGAGGGTAGATGATACCTCTTTCTTCCTCAGGGTAGAAACATATTGGATCCTAGTTAGGCTTTTGATACTTACCTCCCCTGATGTCTTCCACGTGAAACACTTTGTGGCCAAACCTTAAAGCTCGTTCACTATTTTTCATGGCCCTGTTGGAAGATTTAGATATGGGTGTGCCACCACTTATGAAATATATCACATTTACCTAGCGTTGGTTACGGTTACCCTTTGGAGGGTGAGGAGGAATTGATCAATTTTTCCTTCACGTGCCAAAGCTTCAATATGACCACGAAAGGTGATACACTTCTCGCCGTCATGGCCGTTATACTCGTGGTAGCAGCAAAACGTGCCCATGTTCTTCGTGGGCTTGTAATCCGGGTGCTTCGGCTTTGGCTTCGGTATCAAGTGTGCTATGCTGGGGTAAATGGCCACGCATGTGGCGTTCAAAGGTGTGTATGCCTCATACCTCGGGGTAGAGGCTGTCCTGATGCGTGTTTGACCCACTGTGTTGACTGCCTAGGGTCGGGGATTATCATGGTGATATCCTTGGTTATCGCGGTAGTGTCCCTTACTCCTTTTACTAAAATGAGACTGGTGATGATGGAAATCTTTGCTTTTGCTCTGAGATTGATATATCTGTTGACTTGGCAAAGTATTAAGTAAAGCAGGGGGAGGCACTGTTGCCATTTGGAAGGTCGAGGTCTTCTCATTTGGTTGGATCTGGCTTCCACTCCCTACTTGCTGATAAGGGGTGGTTGTGGGGGTTTCCCTTGATATGTCATTGCCTCGGCGGAAGCATGGTTGTAAGCCTGTGCCATCACCTCAGCGTAAGTCTTCCAAGTGTTGGCATTAATCATGTACTTGAAGAAACAATCACGTATGCCTGCCGTGAAGGCCTTGATGACGGTCTTGTCATCTGTCTCAGCGCAGCGAGAATACTCATGGCTCAAACAACCAGCATACTCTCATAGTGACTCGTCCGGCTTCTGGCGAATAGTGTACAAGTCATCTGCAGAATGCAAGTGATCGGTATGGAAGATGTGTTGAGAGACAAACAGTTTCCTCAATTCCTCAAATGAGTCTACTGTCTCAGATGAAAGACAGAAATACCAGTTTAGAGCTCCGCCAGAGAGGGTGGATGGGAAGAGAAGACATCGTTTTTCGTCGGTGTGCATCCGATATGCCATGGTGGACTCAAAGAGATTAAGGTGTTCAATTGGGTCCTCCCTTCCAGTATAGAGTTGTAAACCAAGCTTTTGTTTTGTTTTCGCTTGAAGGGGGTGTCAAGGATCCTCCTTGTGAAAGGGTCAGGCCTAGGTTGGTTCCAGTCAGGTATCTCGGCCTGACGTTCGTCCTTCAACTTGTTTACTTCCTCAATGAGCTGTAGGACAAGGGGGTCTTGAATGGAGTCATGTACCACTGGGATTTTCTTTCGTAAGTCTCCATCGCCTCTTAGAAGTAGGAAAGTTTGAGCAAGGGCGTGTGATTTTTCCTTGGACTCGCCGTACTGACTTCTAGGGCGAGTCTGTCGGAATACCTCAGAGTCCCCTGTACCTTCATGTTCCTCTAGGACATGTCGTTCTTTCCCTAGATTGGCAGCTGGCCTAGGTCGTGGGAAGGAACCGAGTTTTTCAGAAACCCTTGGATCATGATCTTCAAGCATATGTGGAGAGGATTCTCTCGACGTTGCTTTAGGAAGTCTCGGCAGTCACGATAAATGGCTTTTTATCCTTCCAACCCTTCTGCAAGAATGTGTCTTCCTCCACTTCTCCTGCTTTGGGTCGAAGCAGCTGGGTTAAGAGAAATCTCATGTTGATCAATGTTTTGATGATTAGCTCGTTCCTCATTAGGGATACCCATGTCAAAGGAAGGTGACCCTCCGTGTTGGGGAGCACGAGGGGCAACAAGCTCGCGTGTTTGAGTACGCATAGTTTTGTGGAGCGTCTCAAAGAGCTTCTTATACTGCTCTTAGAAGACCTCATTCTTCATTGCTATCTTGTTATTTTGAGCTTCTAGCTCATCGACTTTAGCTTGAAGAGCAACCCTATTTCCTTCCTTCTTTCGTTGCTTCGCACTAGGTGCAAGAGGAGTGTCATTCTATGTGCTGTAGCTTCTTTCGCTCCCCATGTTGGAGAAGGATGCCTGGTCAAAAGAGGGTGTACGAATGGTGGAAACCAGCTTGACAAAGCTGAAGAGAGTGGGAATAAGTGTCGTTCCTATAAGCGGCGCCAAATGTTAATGCACAAAATCAGTAAGGACTTTGGTACAACAGAAAGTGTTAAGTTTGTGACATTCGCTAGATTGCTCCGGTCACTAATGTGGATAAGTAAGTAAATGGATAAGGACAGGGAAACAAACACAAGATGTACGTGGTTCACCCAGATTGGCTACGTCCACGGAATAGAGGAGTTCTCATTAATTGTGAAGGGTTTACACAAGTGCATAGGTTCAAGCTCTCCTTTAGTGAGTACTAATGAATGATTTAGTACAAATGACATTAGGAAATATTGTGAGAGAATGGTCTCTATTTATAAAAGAGAGTTTCTAGTTTCATTCTGACATTGACACGTGTCGTGTTGTGATTGGCTTCTGATGTTGACACGTGTCGCGCTATGATTGGCTTCTGATGTCGACACGTGTCGCACTCTGATTGGCCTCCTGGTTGGAAGGAAACTCTTCTGGGTCATTGACGGTATAATGTTGACCGGTGCTCAGTAGTTTCGGAATTGGTCAAGTATGGTACAAACAGGGTGGAATAGAATACACCCATAATTACACATCTCTCTCTTCTTCTTCTCTATTGCCGCACCTTTCTCTCTCTTTGTGGCCTCCATAATTGTTCAGTAAATTATATCTACAACATCATATTTAATCTACTTACTATCTTCGCAACAATAAATAATTTAAGGCACATCCGAATCTCCGATAAGATTGAGGAGATAAGAATTTTTTTTTTTACTTTTTCCTTTTTTTCTTTGTTGAGAAACTTTTTAAAATATATGTAAAATAACGGTATGAGAAATATGACGCTGATTCAAAGTGAGCCCCAAGACACATGCTTTGTTAATTTAGCTAAGACAACAAAAATTATCGTTATATAGCTAGTTAGGAGATCATCAAAATATCCCTTCCTATATATTTATAGGGAACTTTAACGAAAAGCTTCTGGTAATGTTCACTTTAACGAAAAACCACATTTTTACACTAAAAAGTCAATCCTGGTACTTTACTTTACCCTTTATTTTGTCCTTATCGTTAAAACTCAAAGTTTTCAAGCCTTTTTCATTAGTTTTCCTTATATTATATTCAAGATCAAAGTAAGCGTGAATACGACACACCGGCCCCCATGTTGAAAATCTCTAATGGATCAAAAATGTTCAAACCAAATTTGAGATCATTATATGGAGAAAACTAGCTCTCCATATAAAGAAAATGACACGAAAAAGAAAATGACAGAATTGAGATGGGAATCTTACGATCTACTCCACCTCCGCAGCTTCATATAATTAATTTTTAATCAAAATACACCAAAATGATTCCGTAGGTTGATCAATTGACCAACCATCTCAATTTGGTATCACTTGTAATTAATTTCTGACCTTTATTTGAGACGGGAGACAATCGACTTTGCCTTGAGACGGTAATTAACTGCAAATGGTGGTAGTACCGCTGTCAGGGGCGGAGCTACATGTGGTTGCCATGGCACCCTCCTCTCCCACCTAGATTCTTTTCGCTAGCTCCATTACAGGACACGATTACAAATTAAATATATAATTAAAGTGTAAGAGTCATGGTGATGAAAATAATTAACATGTTAATGATAGTTATATACACCTCTTCAAACCATAAATACAATTGGAAGAAAGCAAAAGCTTTACCAAAGACACATGTTCACATCCTCCTCTTTCAATAGCTTAAAGATTATATGCTTAGGACAATGAACATTGGAGTGCACACCATACAACAATAGCTCAAAGATTACTTTGGTTTACGTTAACGATAAAATAACAAAAATTTAAAAAGAGAGAGATGAGCAATACGAGAAGAAAAACACAAAATTGAAAACTATTTAGAATTGTTAATAGTTTCTAATTTTAAAATTATTTAATACTTAAAAATAAGTAAATAATTAAACTTTATCATGCTAAGTTATCGTTATAAATTACTGCTATTAATGAGTGATAGCATTAAAGTTATGTACATTAAAAAATAACAATAAAAAGAGACTTTCTTTAATTTAATGATACCTTGATTTTCATCTCATGTTACCAATACACAAGACGATAAACTCGATATCCTGACCAATAAACCCCTTCCTTCTAACCCTATTTTCCTTTCTAGCGCATATCTTCACTACCGCACAACAAACTACTCTCTCTCTCTCTCTCGCTCTCTCGTCTGATCGATCTGTCTTGAATCTTGGTGTCCTAATCTTAGCTAGACAAACCGAGAAATTTACACAGGCCTCTAGCTACAAGCTAAGATGCATAAATAACACAAGTAGTTCGAGCTCAGGATTAAAGGTGGATCGGAGGCATGGAAAACGCCCGCTTCCTTCAGAAGCATCAGAGGAGAAAGAGAGGGAGGATCGTCCCCACCACCATGATTTCCCTTCTGACTACGAATCTTCCTGGACGGAAGCTGGCATGTCAGCCATGGTTTCTGCTCTCACTCAAGATTGGAACCACCAAAGATCATGCTACCGTGAAACCAAACCTTACGTATATCTCAGATTCATCACTCCTAGTCAAACGAGAACCCGACCGCTCTCAACCGGTTCAAGATCAAGGTATTGATTTCTATTTTTCCTTCCTTTTTATATTTTTATTTTTGGTCCCTCGACCTAATTTTTTATTTTTTTTATTGTTTTAAGGTTTTTTTTATATTTTATACTACTAGCATATGGGCACACACAAAGTATGTGAGAAATTTTTTTTATGTTTGTTTTTTAAATAGAAGGAGAGAGGAAGAGAGTGATAGAAAAAGTGGGAGTGAGAAGTTTTTTTTTATTATTTATTATTTTTTAATTACAGATATGTTATGATTACATGTAAATGAGGCTTTAAAAAATATCAAAATTTTGTTGTATGAAATTACATTTATGTCTCATATTTTTTATTCATGTTCTGTTTTAATTAAAGGGTTAAACTGATAATTTCATAGAATTTTAATTGACAATGAGTATTTTATTAATTAGTAGAGATAAATTCTACGTTAAAATCATTTAAACTACGGAGAGTGAGATTTGAACTTGAATGCTAAACATAAAAAAACACTGTTCTAACCAATTCAACAAAAATCAAGATCTATAAGATCGTTGTGGTTCATGATATTGACACGTGCTGCGCTAAGGTATTGGGGTTTTCTGTGTATGCATCTGCTTTCACCATATTGTTGTGATTTTGATCTATTTTACAGCACTTGCATTCTCATAAGTGTTGGAATTTATTAAGTTTATTTAGGAAATTAATTAGAGATTTGATTTGATTTTGTAATAGGGTATTTTTGGCATTTACGCATTAGGGTTTCTTAGGTTTATTGCTCTATAAATAGAGCTTGTAATTTAGTTTGAGAGTAAGCGAGTCACAATGTAGTCTCTTAGGGTTTTGTAGCCGTTTCGGCATTCTTAGTTTGTTTAATAATATTCTTATTATTTGTTAGTCTTGTTCATTGCGCACTCTGATATTCAACTTGGTATCAGAACAGGTTCGATCCTTAGGGTTCAATCTGTTCTTGTTGGTATCAATTTGTTTTGTCGCATTTTGTTTTTGGGTTTACTTTTGGTCTCGTTTAGGCTTCGCTTCCGCTTTGCTCTGTGTCTCTTGTTCTTGGTCACTTTGTTTGGAGGCTTTCCCTTCTGCAGTTTGACTTTTCACTAGAGTTGTTCTGTCGGCTGCAATCCCTTTATTTTGCAAAACTTGTTTGCTGCATCATTTGGTTTTGCGATATGGAGAAGACCCCAGGTCATAAGAAAAGGAAAAAAGTATGGCTGGTTTGAGGCTTAGGTCCTCACGGGCAAAGAAAAAAATATGGTTTTGAATATGGTTTTTTGTTTGTTTGTTCGGAAGTTGGAATTTGCACTGGCATTGGAATCTTGTACTTGCACCGGTGAAATTTCGTATTGAAATTGGCATCGGAAATTGGAATCGGTATCGGCATCGGCATCGGAATTTGGAGGCTTGCATCCACATCTGCTTGTTGGCAAACTCATGTCGTGTACCGCCATGAGTTTGACGGGGGTGTTGGAATTTATTAGGTTTATTTAGGAAATTAATTAGAGATTTGATTTGATTTTGTAATAGGGTATTTTTGGCATTTACGCATTAGGGTTTCTTAGGTTTATTGCTCTATAAATAGAGCTTGTAATTTAGTTTGAGAGTAAGTGAGCCACAATGTAGTTTTTTAGGGTTTTGTAGCCGTTTCGGCATTCTTAGTTTGTTTAATAATATTCTTATTATTTGTTAGTCTTGTTCGTTGCGCACTCTGATATTCAACTATAAGTTGTCATCATGTATACTTTCCCTTTTTTAATTTTTTTTTTTTTTGCTGTCATTCTCTCCCTCTCTCTCCCCCCCCCCCCCTCCCTCCCCCTCCTCCTCCCTCCTCCCTCCCTCCCTCCCCTCCATTCATTTTTTGTGGTTGAAATTTTACAATGCCTAAACCTAGTAACCTGTTCCTATTTAATACGGATCTTCATTTTGTATTAAAGATTTGAATAATTGATGACACACTTCCTATTTAGGCAAGTCACCACTTAAACCATATTATATTGTATTAATGGATGGATTATTACCAGAACTACTAAGTCAGCGACAGCTCCCAGCGCGAGGCCGGTTTCAAAGGTCAGAACGCTTACCAACTTTACTCAACAGATACAGATGATGTTGTGATAAATATTATATAAAAACTTTCGACCTAAATCCACTTGTTTGACTACGTGTATTTTTATTTTTTATATATTTTATTGGAAGGGCTCTCACGTTTAAGTTTTGTGGATCAGGATCCTATGGAGAGGATCTTCCTGATCAGGTTTATCGGGCCGTTCATTTTTATCCAAAGGTTATAATTATTATAACTTTTAGGAGGCTTTCTGTTTGTAACCGTTGGATAAAAAATAAACGGTCCGATGGGCCTGACCGTCAAAAGGATCCTGGTCCAAGTTTTGTTGGCGTCCTTTGATAACAGGGCAGAGGCACACTCATACATGTGCCTGCGGCCCCATGTACCCATCTACAAAAGTCTTACCTGGAATCGAACTACTTGTAAGAAGGTGAGGAATGGAATGTAAGTACCCACCACCACCTGACCAAGCATAGCAACATCCATACAATAAAATTATGAGTTGCATCACATTAATTAGCCGCACACGCGTACGTGAATAGGTTTGATAATTAATTCATATATATATATATATATATATATAATTATTATAATTTGTTCAACGGTCAGATATCACTCATGCTCTCACAACTAAGTTTAGCAAAACTTAAATGAGATCGTTATCAAGTGGACACAGTAATACAGTGCAAGACGAGGGTCTTAGAAGCGGATTTGGATCCTCTCCGAATCCATTTGATCTGAGCATGTGGATCAAGTGATCCGAATCGTCGAAATTTGATCCAACGATTACAAATAGAGAATTTCTCTAAAAGTTATAATAATTGTAGCTGTTTGATTAAATTTAGACGGTCCGGATCACTTAATCTGCAGGCTCAGATCCTTTGGATTCGGAGAGAATCCAAATCCCTTAGAAGCCTCGACTCGTGGCAAAAATGACATCGACAAGACTTTGATACCGACCCCAAAGTCTATAGGAACATTTTGGCATGCATGCTCATTCGTTTATTTTATTTTATGTTATTAGGGGAAGTTTCTCTTTTTTATTTCAATCTGTAAGTTATTTGGGGGCACTTGTTTGGACTTTGGAGGCAGAATATACATCTGCATTAGGTTAGGGAGAAGCTGAGCACCAGCGTGAAGAGGTGAAAAGGATCTGATAACATGAGAGAGGATATCAATTATTAAAGAGATATTTATAAAGTATATTTAAATTTAATTGGAAATATATGAAGTGAATACATGCGTGCACAAGGGAGTCAGAATCTTTTATAATAAAACAGAAAAATTATTTTGTTTACACTAATATTTTCTGTGGCGATCTCTTATATTTTACATTCCAGATTGTTCATCTCAAATTCAGTTCCTATATAATCTAAGGCGGGATCCATAATATTTTTTGTGCACTAATTACGTGCAAAAAGATATAAACAAAACGTGGTAGTCTTTTCCTGTGTTGTAATTATTTGACGTCAAGATATAATACCGTGAGAGAAAAAGTAATTATTGAGGTGAGCAGAATCTTTAAGAGAAGGGATCTTTATGTTTTTTTTAAATGAGAATTAGTGTTGGGGCTTATACCACATCGAACTTTAACGACCCAAACTATCTGTTTTTCAAGTTGCACTTCATAGATCATCTTTACAAAATATTAGCCAAATCGAAAATATTTGAGGCATCAAATTGAGTTTAAAAAAAATTGACAAACACTATGTTCTAAGAAATATTAAAATTTCAGCATGACAATTAATTAGGCAAATGGTTTCGGATTGAACTGAATTTTTGCAAAGATGATCTATGAATCAAGATTTACAAATTATATGGCTCGGATCGTTGAAACTCGATGTGCTATGGATTCCACAACTAATCTCCATTTTTATTAAATAATGTGGACCCCTTCTGAAGGGCCTTGGTTAGGTCAGAGGCAAAACCCAACTATGCCTCGGCTACTGCTAGCAAGGGCTGGTGGTAGTACTGTGATCTGTAGTCCCTTTCATATTTGTGGAAGGATTGGTTGAGGAGGAGGAGGATCTTGGAATCAGCTGGAAAATGATTGTGATGTGGACGGTTGAATTATTGAATTTGCATGCATGCATGTATACGAAATAATATTGCTTCGTCACGACACTCACAAAATGCTATTATATAGTACATATTTTTATTTCTTGAAGAAGTTGAAGATAAAGCTGCTGGAGGGACGAAGGGATATGTTATGCAAGCCTGAAAGAGATGAGGATACATGTGACTGATTGTCCGTATTTGAATCTACATGTGCATGTAATCTTTCCCACATGCGGTCGATCGAGCTTCATAAAATTTAAAATAAAAAGAGACAACAAAGAAAAGTGGGTAAAACAAAGAAAAGTGGGTATATATGTCTCCATACCTGGATATAGTGTATATACATGAACCTGTGGGTATGCTTGTACGGTTGTCCCATCTACCTATGAAGGTGCACGGTGCACTTTCCTATCTAAATAATTGTAATCACAAATCAAATCTTGTTACCAGTTATATATAATTATATACGTACACAAATATATATATAACATCGACTATTAGTTTGATTTGATGGAGTCAAAACATTAACTTGAAAGCTCCGTCATGTGATAAAAATTGATTGTTCTTGAATCTTGACCTATATCTAGAAACCAAATCAAACCACAGTATTTTTGAAGGAAGGAGAACTATATTTTTTTAAATAATTTTAAATGTATGTACGTCATGCATGATCACATCAAAGGTCCAATAATGTACAATTAAGTGGTGCAATGGACAATTAGGTAGTCCAATTTACAAATTAAGTAGACACTACCCATGTCAGAGCATATATAGGGCTGGGAAGATCTTTCATGTCCGAAGATATATTTCATCATCTTATCACCCTCATTACACGACTAACATACAATCAGAGATATAAAAGATTCCAAATGCAAAATATTGAGGCCTAAGACGATAATGTTATGGTTTTTTTTTAAGAGAAAACCATAGCTTTATTGATGAAGAAGAACTGAACGCGAGTACAAATCTTGGTAGAGTACATCCTTATAACATTGGAGGTTTCTCAAACCAAACCATAAAATCACCACTATAAGCTTGACTTGGCAAGGCGATGAGCCACTACCTTACAATTTCGCAGAATATATGAAATATTACACTTGTAACCCGGAAACCAGCTTCTTTATTTCAGAAGCAACAAAATATTTTCCGTATATATAGCTAGCTATAGGGAGATCATCAAATATTCCTTCATATATGTATATATTCAACGAGAAGAAATAAAGGTTAAAGACACAACCATATATGACACGTCCTTGTTGAAATACGTTGAAAATCTCTACAAGATCAAAATATTCAAACCAAATTGAGATCATTATATGGAGGCAACTAGCATTCCATATAAAGAAAATGACAAAATTGAGATGGGAGTCGTACGATCTACTCCACCTCCTCAGCTTCATTTACTTTGTATTTTAATTAAATGCACCAAAATGATTCCGTAGGTTGATCAAATTGTCCAGCCATCTCAATTTGGTATCACTTGTAATTGATTGCTGACCTTTATTCCGAAACGGGAGACAATCGACTTTGCTTTGGGAGGGTAATATTTTTTTTTTTTGAGTACATCAATATTTTTACATTAAGAGGAGGGGGATTTATGCTAAGTCATACAATGGGCAATCTAATTTGGTATCAAATTCGTCATCCACGAGATTCAAACCTAAGACCTCTTACATCCAAGTGAAAAGGAATATCACCAAACCGTAGTACTGAGTGACTTTGAGAGGGTAATTAACTGCAAATCTAGTGGTACTACCCCCTCTCTCTCTCTCACCTCCCCCCCCCCAAAAAAAACATTTTATTGATCACCTAGATTATTTTCCCTAGCTCCGTTACCGGCCACGGTTATATATTATATATAATTAAAGTTTAAGACTCATAGTGATTTTCATAACTAACATGTTAATGGTACTTCTATATACCTCTTCAAACCATAAATATAATTAATTGGAAGAAAGCAAAAACTTTACACATGTTCACATCCTCCTCTTTCAATAGCTTAAAGATTTTTATGTTTAGGACAACGAACAATGGAGTGCACTACCATACAAGAACAGCTCAAAGATTACTTGGTTTTATGTTAAAGATAGAATAACAAAATATTAAAGGAGAGAGATGAGCAATATGAGAAGAAAATCACAAAATTGAAAACTATTTAGAGTTGTTATTAGTTTCTAATTTTAAGTTATTTCATTCTTAAAAAACAAATAAATAATATAAACTTTGTGAGAAGAATACAGCTAGTTGTCGCTATAAACGAGTGATAGCATCAAAGTTATATACACTTAAAAGTAACAAATTAAAAGAGATTTTTTTTCTCTCTCTTATTAAATTGAATAATACCTTCATTTTCATCTCATATTACCAAACATCCAAGACGATAAAATCGAATTCTTGACCAATAAAGCCCTTCCTTTCTAACCCTATTTTCCTTTCTAACCCTATTTTCCTTTCTAGTGCATATATTCACTACCGCACAACAGTCTACTCTCTCTCTCTCTCTCGCTCTCTCTCTCATCTGAACGATCTATTTCTTGAATCTTGATGTCCAAATCTTAGACAAGCCAAGAAATTTACACAGGCCTCTAGCTACAAGCTAAGATACACACATATCAGAAGTAGTTCGAGCCCAGGATTAAAGGTGGATCGAAGGCATGGAAAACGCCCGCTTCCTTCAGAAGCATCAGAGGAGAAAGAGAGGGAGGATCATCCCCACCTCCATGATTTCCCTTCCAACTACGAATCTTCCTGGACGGAAGCTGACATGTCAGCCATGGTTTCTGCTCTCACTCAAGTTATTGGAACCACCGATGATCATGCTGCCGTGCAACCAAACCCTACATCCATCTCAGACTCATCCCTCCTAGTCAAACAAGAACCCGACCGCTCTCAACCGGTTCAAGATCAAGGTATATGATTTCTATATTTTTCCTTCCTTCCTTTTTTCTTTTTTTTTTTTGGTCCCTCGACCTACTTTTTTTTTTATTATTTTAAGTTTTTTTATATATACCATAAATATTCTACACTAAATTCATCTAAATTACAGAAAATGAGATTTGAAGTTGAATGTAGAACAGAAAACGCACTGCTCTAACCAACCTAGCTAAGCCTAAATCTATAAAATCATTGTAATTGATGATATTGACATGTGATGCGCTAGCGGTACTGGGGTTATCTATAAAATCGTTGTAATTGATGATATTGACATATACTGCGCTAGCAGTACTGGGGTTATCTATGTGTATGCATATGCTTTCACAATATTGTTGTGAATTTGATCTGTTTTCACATCACACGCATTCTCAAAAGTTCCCATCATCTATACATGTCCATCTTTAAATCCCCATTATTTTGACAAGATACTAATCAAAATAATTGAGTAGCTTGTTAGGTTAGCTAATTGCTCTTTGTTCTCCTAACCCTATTTTTGTTATCATCCGCTATGAATATCCCAGCTTTGTGTTTCTTGCCTAAGTCAAAT